GGGGCACGTTACTAGACTTGCGATAAAAAGAGGACGTCACGCGGTGGCTCAATTCATTGACCCCTTGCCCAAGAAGGAACAGGGACGTCAACCCGCGCCAACCTGTGTGGGAGGCTTTCGCACGAGTTTGGCGCGTATTATGATGGACTATGACAGCTCATTTGTGAAATCGAACATGAAATCCGAGCGTACGTGATGGTGCTCGGCACACGGGTCGTCGCGCGCGTCGGTCGGACTCATGCGTAGTTTGATCTGATTGGGTGACATGAACCGCTTCCAAGTTGAGAGTGGGGGAGGGGGCGAGAGCAGAGATAACACAGCATCACTACGGCGGTACGCGCGCGCCTCTCCCCGCCTCCTTCTTCCTCTTCGCGTCGATTCGGCCGTGATAACCGGATAACGAGAATTGGCGCGACGCGGCGAAACATCGCTTTAATTGAAAAGCGGTATCGTGTGATATGCCTCGCCGTGGGTGCATCGGGCGAATCCACCACTAGGAATGCTACCGCAGCGAAGTCGTATACGTGTGTCTAATGTGTCTGTGCTTCCCTCCCCTCGCAGGCCACGCCACGACCAAGTGCTTCGGGAACATGACCGAGTACGGCTGCTACTCCCTGGGGGAGCCCTGGACGTCCGAGGCCAGGCCGATCTCGCAGTACCCGGAGCCACCAGAAGTGTTGGACGTGCTCTTCTGCCTGTACTCCAGGAGGAACCGAACGTGCCAGGTGAGGTGGAGGGACTCGACGCGAGGGCAACAGCAGACTTTTAAACTTCAAACGCTCCGCGCGCGTGGAAAAAAGAGTTTTATCTAAGGTTTACACGACGCGTCCTTGTTTCGCAACTGTATGACCGCCGCGTAGAAATGATGCGGCTTGTCTCAAGAAGTCAGGGTCACGAGAGCACAACGGAGCGGCGCGTATTATAGAGGAATGTTCTTGGGAAAGGAACGTTCACAAGTCAGTTTATGTAGGTCACGTGTTGACGTCTTCTCGCCGCTGATTGGTCATATTGTCACGACACTTGTTTTCGACGCGAACCTGCGCGTCATTGGGCCAGAGTCCGGTGTGATGTTTTCTGTGCGGGAGGCGGGCGTCTCGCTGGTTCCCGCGCCCCCTCCTGAACTTTAATTCCGCGAATGTGGACGACGTGGTCCACGCGGCGTGCGGGTGCCCAAGGTGGGACGGGAGGGGAGGCACAAGACCGTTTTGCACGTTGCACCACCACCACCACCCCTCCCTCTCGCGCAGCCTGGAGGAGTGAGAATAGTGCCAGGTGGCTGGCGGGGGTTCGCTGCCCATCGCTCGGCAGGACGCGGGCCTTGTGCTTATCGGGGAGCTCCTTCCCTTCCTGCCGTCGGCGGCGCCACTTATCTCCAAAGATGGGCTGTTCACAGCTGCTGGATGTAACTGAGCCTGCGTCCATCTACAGATCGTCCCTGGTGCCCGGACACCGGACTTACCTCTTGGCACACGGCTTCCTCGAGAGCGGAGAGAAACCGTGGCTCCAGGTAAGTGTCTCTATGTTGTAAATTTGGTATTCTCTGCACCTTTCCCACAGACCTCTAATAGAAGCCTGTAAAATAATTACGCACTTCGTGAAATTAGGCTCGCCACCTCGAAACGTTTGAGGCTGTTTCTCACTGGGGATGAGTCGCCTGGTGATAAGATGAGGAAATGCCGTTATTTATTGGTGACGTGTTTCCCTCAAACTCTGCGGAAGTTCATAAAATTTTCCCTCTTTTCCTCAAAGAAGTCAGCAACGTGCCATTAGAATGAACGTCCGGGAGGAAATGTGGGGCTTCAAACGTTCTCTTGTGCCCGACGCGCACTTGGGCGCGCTGGGCGGGCCGCCGTCTCCGCACGGCTGCTTGGCGGGTTGGCGTACCCAGCGCGTTGCAGGCGCTAGCGCCTCCTCGTGGAACGTTCATATCGTGAGAACACCACAGAGCCCCCAACAGTACTGGCGGATAGCACTCTCCTCTTCCTGCGGATCCCTCACTGATTCGGTGTTTTGTGCTGCAGCTCATGAAGGACCGGCTGCTGGAGCGCGCCGACGTGAACGTCATCATCGTGGACTGGGGGCGGGGCTCCGGGCCGCCCTACAACCAGGCCGTGGCCAACACCCGCATGGTGGGCTACATGGCGGCGCGGCTGCTCTACCACATGAAGGTGCGCCACGATCTGAAAATGACCAGCCTTGACTAGAGAGAGTCTCTCTAGTCGGACCCGGCCATCCCTAGAGAGAGTCTCTTTAGTCGGACGCGGCCATTCCTAGAGAGAGAGTCTCTCTAGTCGGACCCGGCCATGCCGCGTGCGACGCGCTCAAGGACTGGGTGTTGTTGCAGATGTACTCTGGAGTGAACCCCGAGCTGTGCCACTTCATCGGCCACAGCTTGGGCGCGCATTTGGCCGGCTACGCGGGCTACCACCTGAGGCAGGACTTCAACCTCAAACTCGGCCGCATCACCGGTAGGAGGGCGAGAGAGGCTAATAGCCAGAGTGACGGGAGGAATAGTTGCCATGCGACGGTAAAACAGTGCCTTCTGAATCGTGTCGCAGGCATGGACCCCGCGCAGCCCCACTTCAGCAACACGGACCCGCTGGTACGCCTCGACCCCACCGACGCCGTGTTCGTGGACGTGATCCACACGGACGCCATCGACCACGTGACGGGTGGCTTCGGCATTGAGGAGCCCATCGGGCATCTGGACTTCTACCCGAACGGCGGCAACAACCAGCCGGGCTGCGAGCAGAACATCCTCAGTTTCATATCGAAAGAGGACGGGAGCCTCTTTAAAGGTGTGTGTTGGTTGGGGGACATCCTGTTAAGAATAAACGTTAAAGTGAATGTCACTGTAAGCTACGGTGAATCAGAGGTGCATCACCGTAACTTACAGCGGTATGTACCTTAGCTTACTGTGAAAATTGACCGCAAGCTACAGTGCTGCCGCTGCAGGGTTCACTGTACATTACGGTGAAATTCAAAGTAAGCTTTTATTTGAGCACCTTCCTCCATAAGGAGGGTGGCTGGCGTCCTGCTCGCAGACACCCGGCCGCCGCCTGTGCGCTCAGGGCGCCTGGGGATAGGCATGCCCGCGACACTCGGGTGCTCGACGGGCGTGCCGATCTCTAGGCGCGCATCCGCGCGGCGCAGTCGCGGAACGCAACCCCTTTCGGAGCTGCGATAAAAACACATACAAAAAATGTGTGATTTGTTGTCATACCTTATATCTTTATGCCTGGCAGCATGCATGCGTAGAGCAGGCTGACTGCTACGTAGCTCGGCGCCATGCAGACGGTAAAAAACAAAATCCCGTCCCCAGACACCTTGTACGACGCTATCTGTACTTTCTGGCGGCAGGTATCAAGAAGTTCATCGGCTGCAACCACGTCCGCGCCCACGAGTTCTTCTCCGAGACCATCCTGCGGGCGCACTCGTCGTGCGGCTTCTGGGGCGTCGAGTGCGAGAGCTACGACAAGTTCCGGAACGGGTCCTGCTTCGCGTGCACGGCGCCGGGCCACCACCACCACGGCAACAAGGGCGCGGGCCACGGGCTCGCGCACGTGCACAGCGACCACGGCCAGGCCGGCCCGCTGTGCGCCAGGATGGGTCTGGAGGCGGGCCAGAAGAGGTTCCAGAACGCGGGCCGGCCCGTGCGGCTGTACCTGCTCACCGGGGCGGAGGCGCCGTTCTGCAGTAAGTGCAAGTGCATGAGCGTGCACCCACCCCTCACCACCCTCGACGCTTTGCCTCTCTTACCCCAGTGTCCTCTGTGCAGGGTGGCTGTACCTCATCACCGTGCAGCTCTCCTCCAGCAACAAGTCAGTCATCGACGGCGGCGAGGTCGGCAAGATCAACGTGTCTCTGAGGGGCGACGTGGGGGTGGCCAAGGACATGCACCTGTACGACAGGTGAGTACGCGCGACCGCTGTGCCACCACCGCGTGACTACCCTGTGACTACCATGTGACTTCCTTGCGACAACCTTGTGACTACCTTGTGACTATCGCGTGACTTAATAGTCAATATTCGCCTGCCCCTCCAGGGAGACCTACCTTGCTCCTGGCAGCCTTCACCAGAGGGTCGTGTCAGGTGCCAGGGTCGGCACTGTCCATTCAGTGACCATCACGTTCGAGTACGTCACGTCCTTCAACCCGCTCACCTGGCGATTCTTCGAGGTCACCAAGATCCACGTGGCGTCCATTACCGTCGAGCCCCTCAGCGTCCACGGCCACGAAAGGTAGGGGTCAAACTGCGCCAGAACCTTGAACACGCCTTGTAACCTTGCATGGTGTGCGATATTGCGAATACCATGTCGGCGGCTCATTTCAGGGCCCCGCGTGGGTAGGCAACCAATTCCAATTGTTCTTGGACGAAGGCGACTTGCTCTATGCCTATGCTCTCCGGCGGACTTGAAATCAAACTGGCCTACCCGCGACGCGGCTCCTGGGAAATACTATCATGACTCATTTCTTCTTATCTCCACTGTCGCAGACTCAAGCTGTGCACGAAAGACGACACGCTGATGTCGGGCAAGCCGGTAACGCTGACCCGGGCAAACGACTGCGGCTGATGTGGTCAGTGGGTTGCCGTCAAAAGTGTGACGCAGTCCGAAATCCGCGCTGCAGGACGGACACCCGTGTGTTCGACTAAGTCTAATGTGTGATAGTGGGTGCGCTCCGGTGAGTCGATGCCATGATACTGCCTTAAGTAATGCGTGTAAGTCGCAATTTGGAACAATTTTGCATTAAGGGTGGGTCAAGCGCATTCCCTCAGTACAAGTACAAATGAATGTGACGGGCGGATGTAGGTGAAAGTGTTGACAAGTCCACTGCAGTGGAAAACCGTGAGGGGGAGAAGACTCTTCCCTGACGGGGACAGGGCAGGATGTACATTATGCGGTTGTGAGAACCATGCGATTGAGTAGATCAGGGTTAGTATTTTCATGTCCGGTAAACTTAGGGTGATGTGTTGTCCCGACCAGTTCAAATATCAGTATTCATGCAAAATGGGACAACTAGCAGTGTATTTATCTCTCTGATATCAAATACAGTATTTATTTATGTTATAATTAGTTA